GATACTGAAAGATAGCAAAATAATGCAAAACCAACATCTGATTTTACATACATGTTTTTTAACCTGATCTAGTTTTGAAGAATGTTAACTGAAATATATGTGCGTGTGCGTGTACACTTCTAAACAAGTAAAATGTGGACTGAATTAGCATGACAGAAAAAAATACAGAAAACCCCTTTCAGCTCAATAGATGAAACAAAATAAACTCATTTTATCTCATCTTTATTCCACTTCTCCATCTGGTCACCACCTTAACTTACAGGGGAAGACAATTGCTTATTTCACTCCTGTTAATGCACACTGTCTTCACAACTGAAAAATAATAGTCTAAGAGTTGTACATGCAGATACAGCCTTGAAATAAAAAGGAACAAAAGCCCTATAAAATTAAGCTTTATAAAATCAGACTATCACTTTGTGTTTTTTAATAATGTGTTACAGGTAATAATCTCAAATCTCAAAGAGTTGTAGAATGCGTATTTGTGGTTGAATTAGAATTCATCTACAAGGTAAAAATTCACTTATGAGGAAAGTAAAAATATCTAAAAGTAAAGTCTGTCAAAAATCACTGGTGCTTTAATATGGAACTGACTAAAAGTCATACATTTGAAAATGTTTTATTTAGGTCTGCTGAATCTTTAAAACATCAAAATATTGAGAATAAACCTCAAAATAGAAAATAAAAATGCTACAGTCTCTGGTCTGTTAGACTGCTAGCTTTTGGAAATACATTTATGTTTATAACTACATATCATAATATTCATGAGAATATTTTCTGTATTATTAAAACTATGAAAATATAAATATAAGGAGCATTTTACTATTTTGGATAAAGCAATCAAATTGTGTCAATCTACTAAAAATGGATTAAACATGAGCACTCTAAATACTAACACTTTGAACTTGCAGGTAAAATTTTCTGAAAATCTTTTTATTTTTTTTCTGACAAAATAACACAATTCATATCACTTATGCTGTTGGGTAATTGCTTCATGGATATATATTTCAAAATAGTTAACGACACCAACCAAAAATAAAAGTGCACCAACAGACGTAGCCAAGAAGCCACTGGCACCCCATCCGTGCAGTGCAGATATTTAACTTGCTCAGTGCACATTCCCAAACAGACCCTCTGCTGTCATCACAGCTTTGTCTCCCAGGAAAACACTTGAAATAGCATAACCCATACAGAACCATTACTAATCTTGAACACCAAAAAAAGGGAGGGGGTTGTTTTTATTAGGAAAAGTCAACAATGAAATAAAAATAAAGTTTCTGGAGATACAATTACCCTAAAATTACCAGCTTCATATGTGTCAAAATAAAATAATCCTGGAAATTATTCTCCAAGATACAGTCCTGGAATATTCTTGGGTTAAGGCAAAACAAGAGAGAGTTGTGATAATCACAATATTGAGCCTTTGTTGTTTAGAAAGGTCAAGTTTACCCTCTGCCTTGAAATTTAAAGAAAAGAGATTTAAAAAAAAAACAGTCTGCGTCCTCACTGTGACCTGGAACCTTGGATTCTGTGCCTTGGGATCCGGCTTTGGGTGGGAACTAATACAAACCCCCTGGGTCCTGAACATTCTTTAATAAAATAGATCCTACACTACAAGTTGTCTCATCTCAAGGGATAGTGTAACTATACTGACTATATATGTTTAATACCTTTTAATAAACCCTCACCAAATATTCCAGTAAAGTCTTTCCAAACACACCTTGCTGCTGCTTCTCTTTCTGCTTTTGTTCCAGCTGTGGTACCCACACTGCATGAAACCCTTCTCAGGTATCTGTCCAAGCTCCAGAGGTACTCCTGAATATAATCTTTCCCCAGCCACATAAACATCTGTCCTGTTTGGAATTCCTCTAGCACTTACTTGCTCCTCACTTCTTTCTAGTACATAATCATATGTTGTCTTGGATTGTTTTAAAATCATTTCTCCAGATTACAATAATGTTTACCCAATACACACATTGTTTGTACCAAGTACTGTGCTTAACACATTTAACTCTTAAAGCAATCCCATGAATCAGAGTCTACTAAAATTCCCATTTTGTTGATGAAGAAAAAGAATTAAATAGTAAGCAAGGGTACAACACTCTCTACGACTTAAGTAAAGCATGCACTTAAATCTAAAGCTCTCTCCAAAGATCTTGTTTGACGTTGTGAAACATGACCTCATGCAAATGCCTTTCTCCTCAACCAGACTGTAAGCTAAGGTCAAAGAAAGTGGTATCTTTTACTTCCTTCCAGTACCTCATACCATAGGGTTGGAGAGCTCTGAGTGAGGGAGGCACGGAGAATGTACCCAGAATATTTCCTACAGCATCCACTAAATGTTCTGTTGGGCCTTTATCTGTATCCTACATTCTTAAAGGTCCAGTCAACTAAAGGCAGAAGCTTCCAGAAATGAAATTCCTCAAAGGAAGTCGGTCTTTATCTGCAAACTGATTATAGTCAGAGTAGCTGGCTGCTTTTTGAAGGTACTAGTTCCTCTTCTATTTTATATTTTATTAATTGTACTCATCTTTCTCAAAATCTTACTGTAAACAGATGTCATTTTACCTTCTATTTTTTAATAAACTTGCATATTTTGTTTTCACTAAGTGGATAAATGTTTACAAGGGAGACAAATAAAAGGTAACTTTCTTTCCATAGTAAGCACATTATTAAAAACTGAGATATACACTCACATCACTCTGTGTAGCAAAACTGCAATAAAGAAAGAGCAGGGCTGACCGAGGGGCTGCCTCCTCCACACACTCTCAACTATGAAGCCCCACCAAGAAAGAGCAGTGGAGATTTTGGAAGGGAAAAAGCCATTTGAGAGTAAATTAGAATAAAACTAACGTTATTTTATTCATATACAATTACTACCAAAGTCTTTCATTAGCTTCGTGGCATTCCAGGAAAAGGAACAACAATACAAAAACACTCCCATCTACAATTGTGTTCACTTTTAAGTAATGTAACCACTCAAATACAGACAGGGTTGACTGCAATTCTGCATCAGGATGTTGGTAATACTGATAATTCAACCAAGCTTCTGCCACATGTCCTAAGAGTCAGCCAAGCCGTTAATGGAATTGCATTCCTATCAAGGGGAGTTTAGGCAGGGGGTAGGTCCATCATTCCTAATAACACCTACTTCCCCAAAACTGATTCAGATGATTAACTGTGTCAGCTCTTCATCAAATCAGCACTCAATCACTTTGCAAGGTAATTCTCTTCATCTCAACTCCTACTTTACATTCCCATAAAATGCAAAAATGCATATTGCACTACTGACATAAAATAATTTAAATGAAAAGAAATCAATAATTTGCTCCACAGCACAGCATCTTACTGTCAGCTTCACCGAATCCACCATTAATTTCAGTTCCTCCCCACATACTCATTAAACATAAAATACAGCTATTCTATGGATATTAAGGTTTTTGGTTTTTGTTGCCTTTTTTAAAAAAGAGAATATAGATATGGCAAAATACAAGCTTCCCAATACTCCACTTCTGATTTATACTTTTATTGTTTGTTGGAGCTTTCTAAAATGATGAATACACTAAACATTCTGAGGCATGGTTGTCCCACCACGTATAAATAAACTTTTCAGCAGCAATGCTTGCAAAAAGGAAGACTGAAAAATTACTGTTAATATATAATGGAAGGCATTAGAATGCAAGCTAAAGAAAGCAAAGTGAAATATATAATTTAGTGAAACTAAGTGGTACAAAACCAAGTGAAATTTTAAATTGTTAATAATGGTCCCAGAGCTAATTCAACTTTTCCATTGGTGTAAACCACAAACACAATTACACAGTATGTTTCTCTTCAAAGATCTTTACAATTCCTGTAAGGTGGATGAGAACGGCTAAGAATATCTGTTAAAGGCTATAACACGACTAATGTTATTAAAAATAGTATATTTATAAGCCTGTGAAGTATAACCTCATTACTCCAAAAACTATCTATCCATTGTCCTCCTTTAGAAGTTAACACATAATGAACAAAAGTGCATCTCTGCCATCCTTCTGCTCCCTGTTTTCCCAGATCAATCTACCTTAGTGTTTGTACGCTGACCAAAACATTCCATAAATAATGCTATGGGGCACACGCATTAAAGTTTAGAGAGTTTCTGCCTTTGAAGGAGATAGTGACAGGACTAAGGACACACGGGTTCAATTCCAAGACAAATATTAGGCGGGTGGTTTGAAAATATCAATCAAAAGAGGCCTAGGGGAAAAGGATACAAGCGTCCACTGCCACCACCCTTCTTTTCCCCTCCCCTCTTCCTCTCTTGTTCTCTTCCTCTCTTTTCTTCTTTCCTTGTGGTTTCTCACAGAGACTATCAAAGCAGGAAAGCTGCTAATTTAAAATTAGTGAGACACACGCTGGGAATATCTAATTCCCAGGAGGAAAAAAGAAACTGCTAAAAGGGGGTGTGGGGGGTTGTTGGCAACATGTTTAAGTGACAATCCTCCCCACCCCCACCCCTAATACTGCACAAATCCACAGATTCTTCTTCGACCCTCTTCTCCTTCCAGGTCCCAGTACTCGATCCAACTTGACCCTTAATACAAATAATGTAGGGACCTGCAGGGCATCCGCTGTGCAAGAGTGTATCTCTCAGTATATGTGCCCAATTTTCTGAAGCCCCTGAATCCGGACAGTTGTAGCAAGCAAGGGATCTCCCACCGGGAAAGGGGTGAAGAAAGGGGGGGAAAGAGGAAAGGATGCAGAGCTGCTCTCTAGGGCGAGCGGCTGAAAGGAAGAGAGGAAAGAATGAAAGGGTGGGAAGGAAGTGGGGCTGGAAGAGAGGAAGAAAGGGATGAAAGAAAGGCTGGAAGAGAGAAAGGAGGGGAGAGGAGAGGAGAGAGGAATGTTGGGAAGGATGAGGGCGGGAGGGTTGGGAGCGAGGAGGGAGGGGAGGATGGAGAGGATGGGAGGGAGGTAGGGTGGGAGGGAGGCAGGCAAGGATGGAGGATGCTCTGCCCAAGACTCACCTCTGTGGGTCGGTGGGAGTTTCTCGCCTCCTCCTCTTTCTCGCCCGTTCCCAACAGCTGGAGGGGTAATAACAGAAGGGACTGGAGAGGCGGCGGCGGGGACGAGGGCAGCAGCTGCTGCAGCAGCCTCTGGCCGAGGTGCGGTGCCTCCTGCTCCGCCCGCCAGCCCGGGTCTCCGCCTTACTCAGGGCTGGAAGCGAAGCCGCTCCCCCCTCCCCCCGCCCGCCCCGCGTCCTGCCCAAGCGCGAGCGGCAGCTGCCCGGATCGCCGCTAGGGGAGGTGGCCAGTGCGCAAGCGCGGCCGCTTGCTCGCTCGCGCGCCCCCCGTGGTCCCCGTGGCTCCGCGGGGCTGGGGGAGGCCCGGAGTAGGGGGGGACGCGAGCGCGCGCGGCCTAGGGAACGCCGAGCGGGAGGGGCAGGGGCGGAGCTGGGGAGGCGAGGCTAGCTCCGAGCCGCAGGTGGGGGGAGGGGATGGCGGCGAAGGGGCACCGCCGAAGGGCGCAGGTGCCGTGTCCATGACAACCGCCTTAGCCTCGGGGCGGGGACCCGGAGCTGAGTGGCCGGAAGCCGCGAGGACCGGTTTCTGAGACACGGTGCGGGAGAGGTCCTGGGGCGGTGGGTGGGGGGCAGGACGGAACCGGGGTTGCCGAGTAGGAAGAAAGGGTGAGCCCGAGAGGGCAGAGACACGTGGCAGAAGGAGGGCTGGGCCTAAGTGCAGGATGGTGGAGACTGATACGGGAGGTAGGTTTGTTGGGACCTGGCGTACCAAAGGGAGGAGGATCAGGACTTTAAAATAGGACCTGGAAGAGGATGGAAGTGTTAAAATAAATGCAACATTTGCTCATTTCACGAGCCTTTGTTGAGTGCTGTGTATGTGGAAGGCATTCTAATTCTTTTATTGATGCAAAGAATATTACTAAGCCCCCAATTTGCACCAGCCACTCTACTTAAGCATTTCAAGATATCAAAAAATGTTTACTATCCGGTGTTTGTCCTCGCGGAGGCTATACTTTAGTTGGAGAATTTACATAGAGATCATAGGGAGTTTATGCTCTGCCCATCACCATCAACTGGGGCTGGAATGTAACTGTTACAGAAATGCTAGAAATGAAGAAGATACAAGCTACTCAGTTACAGTTATCTTTGTTCTGCTGCAATACCAAGTGACAATTTTTTTTTTTAATCAAGAGAGAAGAATAAAGACAAAATCTATGGCAGTTTGGTAAGACACAAGTTATGCTGCATTCACAACATGCTACTTCTCTGGTCTGCTCGCCCACCAGCATCAATGTGTTTGTTTGAGCCAACACTTGTACGGCCTTATATCACTTGGTACACGCGTTTTTTACACTCCTTCTTTATTGACTATGTCAGCTATGTTACATCCCCTTCTTCCCAGGCTGGCATCTGCGATTGTTTGAAAATAATGTCAAAGCCAGTTGTCTTATTCTCTCCAGGCATGGCTTGAGAGCTCTATCTCTAACCATTCCTTTATCTTTTTCTCCAAATTCTTCTTGCCTTACATTTTCCTTGTCACCAGCACTTCACAACTTTAAAAAAATAAAATAAAATAAAAATTCCTGAGAGAAAAAGTGCACCAGAATCAAGTGTACACTTAAGAAAAACCTCCTTAGCCGACAGCGATGGTTCAGGACCACGGACAGTGACACCGCATGTTCCTCTCCCCAAGCCTTTTCCTTAGGCTCAGCTTAGACACTGGATATGCTTCAAGAAGTAAATGCTGAACACCAAATGATCTGTGCCAGAAGATATGAACAGATTGGAAAAAGGAAAGAACACACCATGGACTGGAGTAGATAGGAATGAAGTAGGCCCTTCAGCTAGACTTTGAAGAAAGAGTAGGTAACATTTAGGGAGACATCACAGGACCCTGAAATGGTAAGAGGAGGCTAAGTTAGCCAGGGAGGTGTTCAAATAAAAATAGGGATACTTCATAGTACTACTGCACCATATCTTCCTGAAGGCAGAGTACACTTCTGATTTTAATTGGTCTAAGAATATGGAAAGGGTAAAGTAGTCCCAGTTAAATAAGGTAGAATACAGTCTCAAGGACTGACACTTTTTTGTTATTACTGTGATTTTTCATTCTCTCATCAGGCTGGAGGGGATAAATTTAAAAATACAGGCCAAAGAATTATCAGACAAGTTCATCTCTTTTACATTGAGAGGATTCATTTATAGGTTTGTGAATTGTTTTAAATTAGGCTTATATTTATAATTCTGTTTCAGTTGAGAGCAGACAGGAAAAAAAAAAAAAACTAATGTAGATCCAGTGTTGTCTTGTCAAAATGAGATTTCCTTCATTTTTGTCTTGTAGTGACTTTCAAAACTATTAGATATTATTGAGAAACCTTTAAAAGTCATTTGTAAAATATTTATAAGGTTTTATCCATGCAGTTGCTTTACAGTTAATAAAAAATAATAGCCTAAAAGGCATCCCTTATTTCTCAGACCCTTGACCTCCTTCACTCTTCCTTCTCAATGCACCAAACTATTGTCTGTCAATCAGATAGTGATAAGAAATTATCCAAGCAATGTATTTAAGTCCCCAGCAGGCAAATGGCAGCTGAGATTTTTGTTCCCTGCCTCCAAAGAATTTACTGTTTTATGTTTTGGATGAAAGGGGACCTCTACCCCTACCTTCCCCAATGGGAACATGCAAATTGAGTATTATTTTTTACCTATATTTCTCTCTGATAACAGTCTAAACATCCTTATTTAAATAATAGCTATCATTGGATATTGAAGAGCTATCATTTTATTTGTCCCCATTCTAAGCCAGGGGGATAATTTTTTTACCTTTATTTCTTTTGTTTTGAGACTGCTGGTGAATCTGGCTGTTTCCAATTTTTTTGATTTAAGTGTTGTCCTTCATTTCAATGACATAAACAACAGATACAGCCCTCAGAAAAACAAGCAATTTCCCCTCCCGCATTCATATTAAAGATTCATACCAACATAAATAACAAAAAGCATATTATCGTGTGCAAATGCAAAAATATTCTATATAATTAAAATACAATTTAACCTGCAATAACATGACATCTAGATTTTTAGAATAGACTCCAAGACTGACAATTCTAAGTAAAATTATTCCTCATGCTTATACATTTAAATGTTAGGTCACTACATACTGGGACCCTCATTCAGTCTGTTAGCTCCTGAAATTTCTCTATCAAATCCTCCTGTGCAATTCATTTTTTAGTAGATAGCAGTTTTAGTTTCACAGCAAAATTGAGCAAAAAGTACAGAGTTTCTACATACCTCCTGCTGCCACACAAGCAAAACCTCCCCCACTATTGACAACCACAGTGTTACACTTGCTAAAACAATGAACCTACATTGACACATTGTTATCATTCAAAGTGTTAACACTTAGTGTAGTTTACACTAAGGTTCAGCTTGTACATTCTATAGGTCTATAAATAACATGTATCTACCACTGCAGTATCATACAGAATAGTTTCACTGTCTTAAAAATCTATATCCTACCTATTCATCCTTCCTTGACACTAACCCCTGACAATTATTTTACTGTATCTATAGTTTTGCCTTTTCCAGAATATCATACAGTTAGAATCATACAGTATGTAGCCTATTCAACCTTTTCAACCTTAGCTTCTTTCACCTAGTAGTATGCACTTAAGTTTCCTCAATGTCTTTTCACAGCTTCATAGCTCATTTCTTTTTAGTGCTAAATAATATTCCATTGTTTGGTTTTACCAGTTTATCTGTCTGCCCACTAAAGAACATCTTGATTGTGTCCAACTTTTGGCAATTATGAATAAAGAGAATATAGAAATTTTACTTTTTAATAATCTCCTAAATATTTCAGACCCTCTTACAATATTTGTTACATATGAGTTATACCCCAGGATTTTCTCTTCTATGATTCAGCTTGTTCTCACAAACATAGCAGATTTCATCTCTTGTCTAAAAAATATCAATGAAACTCTCACTGTTGTTTGTATGTACTCCTTTCATTATTAAAAAAGCAAACAAGCATTAAATTGTTTTAGAATTCTTGTTTTCTACCTATTCTATCAACTCTAACTTTCCTTTTTTTTAAACATATCCATCATTTGTACATCTGTATCCCTAGGTAATTGTGTGTATATAGTGTAATGGTGTGTTAGTGTGTGTAAACACACGCACCATTTTTATGTTTGTAAGTAAATAGAGAAAGTGTTTTAGGAATCATATACATAAAATTTCTACCTTTTTCATTTTGAAACATTTCAACTGTGACATTATATAGATAGAATGTGGTAGGCAAGATAACGGACCCCTAAAGATTCCCATGCCTACTTCCTTGAACCTATGAATATGATATGTTACATGGCAAAAGGAACTTTACAGATGTAATTAAAGTTAAAGAATTTGAGAACGGGAGATTATCCTAAATTATCTAGATGGGTTCAATACAATTACATGTCATCTTAAAAGTGGAGAATCTTTCCTTGGCAGTCAAGAGATACATTAAAGAGATAAGGCAGCAGGAGAAGAGTCAGAGAGATTCCAAGCATAAGAGTGACTTGAATGGTTTTGCTAGCTTTAAAGGGAGCCATAAACCAGAAGGGCAGCCTCTAAATGCTAAGCACAACTCCTGGCCAATGGCCAGCAAGGAAACAGACCTCAGTCCTACAAACTACATGGAAGTGAATTGTGCCAACAACCTGAACAAACCTAGAAATGAATTGTTCACTAAAGCCTCCAGAAAGGAACATAGACCTGCCAATATTTTGATAGTGGCCTTGTGAAACTCTAAGCAGAAAAACCAGTCTAGCCCACTACACTTCTGAACCACAGAACTGTGAGACAACAAATTTGCATTGTTTTAAGCTACTAAGTTTAGGGGAATTCAGTGATGGAAAACTCACATGTAGAAATTCTGTATCAATTACTTTATTTGCAAAAAATAAAGGAGGAACTTCATTAAATAGCACTTATGAGTTCCTTTATTCCAGTGTTACCATATTCTAGTTTGTGATATTAGGCAAGTTACTTAATGTCTATAAGACTTATTCTTGCAGTCTGAAAAATGATG